AGGGACCGCCGCTGTCCACATCCCACAGCCCGGGTGCGGGCCAGTGCGCTCCGTGACCTTAGCGCCTTCATCCGGGCCCAGCGTCCACTCCGGCCTAGAGCTCTGGACGGGAGCCTTCGGGGGTGAAGAAGCGCGTGGTGACGGCTCAGGCGCCCGACTCCCACGTGGCCGCAGCAGTTCACGGCCTGACGGCTAAGATCGTGCATGCGTGCCCGGGCCCCAGGAGGACGACGGTGGAGAGGGGACCGCAGCGTGGCCACCCCCGGAGCTGGTTTCTCACTTTCTGGCTCTGTCTCTCATGAGCGCACAGGCCCCAGGCATCGCAAGCCTACAGGAATCTGTGGGCTCAGATGCAGCCCAGCTCACGGATTTCAGGATCACCTCTCGGCTTCTCTCCCATCCTCACTTCCCGCCCCGCTGTGAGTGGCTGCTGGCTTTTCCCCGGGAGAGCCGTGTCCAGACGCAGCCGCCGCGGCAGTGATGGTGCCCTGGGGAAGCAGGTGCAGAGGGCTCCCTGCCCAGGGCCGCAAAGATCCGCAGGACTGGGCAGAGGGAACTGGCGCCAGGAGACCAGCCCAGGGCTTCTCTCTGCCACCTACCCTGCCCTGAACCATCCATCATAAAAAAAAGAAAAAAACTAAATTGTATCTCATTTATCTCCACAAGAAGACCCACTTTCATTTTTTAAAAAACTTTTTGCCTGGGGCGCGTGTGCTCCCCAGAGAGAAAGAGACAGTGAGAAGGAAAGCAAGAAATCTGTCAAGGGGGGTGGGGGGGTGGGGGGGCATGTTGCAACCTCTTCTCCTCCATTCGCTTCTTGGATTTGGGGCATTCGTGCACATGTGCCCAGAGTGATTTTCAAGCCACCAGGTCCAGGACTCCAACCACTGTGGGCCATGACTGAGTTTCACTTCTAAAGTCTCACCCAATTTTGCTTTCTACACATATCTAAATTGCTATGAAAATGTAATGCTGAGCACCTGTGCATGAAATAATAGCTCTTGATTTTCTTAAAATACAATGAGGATGGTAACTATTGACTGCAGCCCTCGTAAGTGAGAGGCCGGCACACAGTGAACACACGCAGGACACAGGAGTCCACGGAAGCACACCGCGTGTACAGTATGGGTGTACTATCCGACCGCCACGTGCCCCCACGTGAGCGCTTCATCTTATCATCGACATTATATAGTCGGAGGCCGAGGCACAGAGACTTTTAGTGATTGGCACCAGGGGACCCAGACAGAAGGAAGAGCAGACCCCGCGTCCACATGAAGCCCGAGACTGCCCCCAGGCTGGGAAGCCCAGCCCCCACTGCCTACTTCTCAGATGGAGCCTGCACTGCAGAGGGTGCTGGGGGGTGGAACCCTGCTGCTGGTCTAACAAAGCCACCTGTACTCAGAAAGGGAGGTGGAGGCAGAGAAAAGGATTTCCATAGACTTTTTTTTTGGGGGGGGGAGGTTGCCATGGGGCATGTGTACTTGTTGGGAGAGAGACTGAGAGAGGGAAAGTGAGAGATCACCTCTCAGGCGGGATGGCCATGGCACAGTCCCTTCTCCACTCCCCTGGGGGAATTTTGGGCACACACACACACACACACACACACACGCCCGGTGTGGTTTTCACGCCGCTGGGTCTGGGGCTCGTCTGCGTTGGCCGTGTGGGAGTCCAGCGCCTTAGCCACTATGCCACCTGCTGGCCCCTCCTCTTAGCCACTATCTGTCAGAGTTTTTGAAGTGTATTTAAACTGTATTTAGACTTTTGTGTGAACCGAATTTAAACTTCTAAATCGTGTCTTTGATATGTACATGATTATGAAGGTAATGCAGACTTTACAAAATACAAGCAATGTTGTCACCTACGTCCCGTGTTCACATCCATTGCACTATCCGAGCAAACAGTGTCCCCTGTCGTACCACAGTCCGGAGGATGCCATTCTGGACCGTGAGCCCAAGCTAGCCACTCCGAGAAGGGCGATTATAAAAGCTCCCTAGTAACTGCACCATCTCGTCTCTGGGGCCTTCGGGTGTGACCTTCCAGGTCACTCCCAGGCACCCTGGTGACCTCTGGCAGCCCTGCACGGTTACCAGCGACCGACCACTCCCCCTGTGCTGAGTGTCCTGGGGCCCCAGCTGCTGTGGCCCGCACCTCGCCCGCAGGTGCTGGACGGCCCAGGTGGGGGACACTGGAAGGCTCTGCTGGGCAGAAGGGGCACAGGGTCCCGCACACACTGTGAAGGTGGGGTGGGACTCGGCGGAGGGCCACTCTGTGTAAGGGGCGGCCATCCTCAGCTCCTACAGTGTCACCTCCCACTTACCGAGGTCAGTGTTTTTAAAGAGCATTAGAGCCTTAGAATTCTCTGTGCACTTTCTCAATCAAAAAATAAAATGGCCCGCACTTGTAACACGCCCTGCTAGCCAGACAAGCTGGTCTGCTGCGTGTCAGGCCAGAAAGCAGTCGAGGCAGCCGGGTTCAGGCCTGTGATGGGGGCGGAGGCTGCAGCCGGTTTTCCTTGGGCCTTGGAGGTGTTTTTCACTCTTCTCTCTTGGCCCTAAGTCTGCCCCCACCCCCAATGGGACCTGCAGCTGGGCTTGGGCAGCTGGAATGCGGCCCTGCAGCTGGTCGGGACAAGCCTCAGAACAGCCCAGGGGGTACCAGGAGTGGCTGTCCCGGGTCCTCCCTCACCAGGTCCTCTCTGTCGCCAGATATCCGGAGAGGCCGGTCCCGCGGATCCCCACAGACGCTTTGCCCGCGCTGGTGGCTCGGGCGACCTGATGCAGATGGGGAAAGCGTGGTGAGAGACCCGCCCTCGAGGGCGCGGCGGCCAATAAACCGACCGGCGGTGTGCGCAGGTGAACCGGTCCTTTAGACGCGAAAAATCCGCGGAGGCGACCGTGCTGCGTCTGCGTGCAGCTTCCGCGGGTGCACGGAGCGCGGCGGAGCCCGCGCAGAAGATGCGCTCCTTGGCGCCGAGGCTTTGAGGTTCGCCGTGTCGCGGTCCCCGCCCTCCCCGCCGGGGGACAGAGTTTGTTTGCTGTCCTGGCGAAGTAAACAGCGGAGCAGCTGACTTCACTGGAAAACGGGATTGTTTGGGAATGAGGCTTCGTTTCCAGGGTCAGTGACCTGCTTGGAAGAGAGGGGGCGCGGCTGCGCCCGGGGCTCCGCGCCACCTGCGCCCGCGGCGCTGCGCTCACTCCGCACC